TTACAATATATGTCCAAACTACAGCAATAGGCATTGATGGTATTTTCTAGCTCCACCGTACATCCTAACACGAAATTGATCTTTTTGAACCGCTTAAAAATGAATAGTATTGTGATCAGCGATATATTACTATAGATTTATGTTTTTTTGTAAAACTACATGATGATATCGTATGTGAGCAATTCATTCCAAAAATGGACTCAGTAGCAGACTAGTCATGGAGTGATTATGCACTGGTGAGTAACCCCGATATCAGCTTATTTTTTAAATTATTCAGAGCATAATTTCGAACTTCATATGGAATATTATTGTATAACTTGGCATCAGTACAAGAGAAGCTCTTTTTGTAGAAAGTCGTAAAGTGCTTAGGTACAGGGTGCGGCAGAGAGGACGGACGTTTTTGGGATGGGTAGTACTCTCCGCCTCCGCCGACGAGAGAGGTGGGGAGGGTGCCGTTTGACTCGCGAGATCCTAGTTCATTGGCCTCCTCGGTCCCCAGATTTATCCATATGCGATTTTTTCTTATGGGGACACCTCAAGGCTAGAGTACACGCGAACAGGCCCCGAACTCTGGACGAATTGAAGGGCGAAATTCACGTGGAAGTCGCCCAAGTTGGGAGGGCGATGTTGGAGAGAGTCTACGCGAACTTCCAAGAACGCCACCAGCACTGCATCAACGATTTCGGCCACCACATGCCTGATGTGATTTTCCACATTTGACTGTCTCAAATGCTATTTCCTTGTGAACCTGATTCCATCAATAAATTTGTTTTCGAGTACAAATTAACTATTTTATGATTTTTTTAAAACCGTCCATCCTCTCTGCCGCACCCTGTATAACTAATAATTGTCGATTTCTGGTAGCCAATTTATTGATGTCTGCTAACTTTTTTAGTTTATCCAAAAGATATTCTGATTTCTTATTCACTAAAATTTGGTGAACCAAACCAAACATAAACTTTGCTATTTTCTGAGATTCTTTATTCTCATTCTCTTTGTATTCATGTCTTATATGATCAAATTTCCGCATAAATCATGTTGCTCATTTCCGTCGGTCTATCTGTTCGCTAATTCTTGACCCGTCTATAACTCGGAAAGTGCCGGATGGATTTGGACAAAATCCTCCCACGATGTTGCTAATGTGTCAAAAACGAAAAAGAAAGAAAAAATTTAAAATCCACAAACTTGACTGATAAAAGACGGCCAACCATATTTCGTGCTTTCTTGGCAACTCATCAGCATGGTATAGGCTTGGTCCCCGGGATAGCAAGCCAGCATAATCCTCTATGAACTAACTGACGACGGCCTTGCATGGTAAGTGCAGAGTCAACCGACGTGACGCCATACCTTATGGCGAAAGTAGCTTTTGCAGAGCCGAACGTATCAAAACCCCCTGGTAGCAAAATTCTTTTCCGTTTGGTTTCGGTATTTTTATTGCATAACTACAAATTATCCAAGTAATTGGCAAAGCATGCGAGATGTCAGTTTTTAGAAATCCTGTGTACACACATGAACGTTATTACGCCGATGTCAGGTGGTGAAAATAGAACGTGAAAAATAGATATTTGTATTTTTCGATGTAATGAATTATCCGTAAACCTGGCCGCGGTATCTTGCGAATGTTACGTAAACATCAATTGAGATGTTAACTTGCTCTTGATACGATTTAAATATTGACCTACGAAATCTCTCTAATCCACTATATGACGTACTAAGGTACGAGTCGGCTAGCTAAATTCATAACGCAACATTGTTGCAACACGTGTGCTTTCTGTGTATAATGTTGCACTATATACGAGTTATGATCGACAATTTCTTGCTTGTAACAAATAACTAAACTATACATAACTGACTCTTCTCTAACAGTCTCGGGACTCTTTAGCACCTGGGAACCGTAGGCGATCTAGCTCTCTTCTTCCGCTACACCAACGGACTTTGCTCCTCAGAGCTCTCTTCCATTATGCCGCCGCGCGGTGTGCCTGCCAGACAGACCCGCTTGACTTTGGCGTCCCATCCTAACCGTATCGAACTTCGTACATCCAGAGCTGGCCGATACGACTGCTCTGCTGTCCCGAGGGAGTCGAGATTGTGGAACAGTCACAAGCGGAAGCTTTAGCAGCAGCGGTGTCCCGGCATTTAGGCTTCTGCCTGCGTGGCTGCTCCGGTATAAAGAAATAATGCGAAATGTCAGTTTTTATAAATTTGCCACAGGGATCTGTATACGGGCCATTGCCATTCCTTATACAGGGTGTTTCAGTTTATTGTTGCATAACCTTAAAATTCGATAGAACTTTTAAAATTAATGCATAAAGTCTACATAAACATAGGTCGAAAAATGCGTGGCTTCCGAAATACAGGGTGTTTAAATTTACTTTCTAAAATAGTTTTTTTTAAATATTTCGAACAATTTTTGATGTATAACAGTGAAAATTGGTATAAAACGGTTTTTTGGTACGACAAAATGAACTATGGGCATAGTTTTACTGTAGCCGCTAGAGGGCGCTCTCTACTGTACCTGTAGTGTATTAAAATGACCGAAAATTTTGTCTAAGTGCAGTTTTTTGCTTTTTGAATAAAAAAACTGATTCTTCGCACTTTTCAACATAAAAAGCTCTCCTGTGAGTTTTCGTTATAGTTAGCCGTTTTTGAGATATTTTAATTTTTAAGGTGCGATGCATTTTTAATTATCTATGATAAAATAACGTTAAAAAGTCAGTATGTCGATAATTTTTAGAAGTAGGCTGTGCCTGCAAATATTTGTGAAAGCAGAATAAGGTTTAACGTCAATTAGTTGACAGTTAGTAACCTGAAACGTTTTTTTGCAATTGTGAACGCAGGAAATTTAGTTTTTTTTTACCTGTTTTTTTTTTGTTTTATAAAAATGCCATTTTTATTCTCCAATCAAGAGTTAGCGGATATTCATTTTGTGTATGGCTTTGTAAATGGAAACGCAGCAGAAGCAGCCAGAGAATATGCACGAAGATTTCCAACCAGACGACATCCACTCGCTCAGTATTTGTAAGAGTGCATCACCAATAATTGAAAATGGTTTTGGAAATTTCCAAAGGGATCAAAACATAAATGTCCGTCAGCGTAGATTTAGCCGTATGATTCTGTGTGAGTTTGATAGAAATCCGAACACAAGTGTTAGGAGAGTTTCTGGTGCCTTAGGAATTTCAGCAAGCCATGTTCACCGTGTTCTTAGAAATGACCATAGACGTCCTTACCATTTGCAACCTGTGCAAGGACTACAGCCAGGGGACGAAGAACGAAGAATCACATTTTGTCAGTGGATTCTTGATAGAACTGATAATAATGGGAGTTTTTAAGTAACGTTTTATGGACCGATGAGTCATGCTTCACTAGACGTGGAGTGGTAAATTTTCATGATCAACATATTTGGTCGTATGAAAGTCCGTATGCAGTTCGGGAAAGAAATTTTCAGCATAAATTTAGTGAGAACGTGTGGATTGGTATCTACCGTAATCGACTATTTGGACCCTACCTTTTGCCTGCAAGGTTAAATGCTGCGACCTTTTTGGAATTTTTAAAGGCTGAACATGCAAATATGAGGGATGATGTTATATTAGATTTAAGAAGATTGGCCTGGTTCCAGCTAGATGGTCGTCCAGCTGATTATTCGAGAATAGTTAGAAACTGGCTGGACGAAAATTATCCAGAAAGATGGATCGGCCGTGGAGGACCAGTCGCCTGGCCTCCACGATCCCCTGACCTAAATCCATTAGATTTCTTTCTGTGGGGATTTCTAAAAGAAAAAGTGTACCAGACTCCCGTAACCACAAGAGATATGCTAATAGACAGAATCAAGAATGCATGTGATGAAATAAGGTCTTATTTGAATAATGCTATACCACGTTCGATCATTCGTAGATGTGAATTGTGTATTGAACAATTGGGTTTACATTTCGAGCAACTACTTTAGATTTTGTATGTTTGTCCTAACTATCCAATAGCATTTTAGTTGTAAATAATTAATTTAATTTGTTAAAAATAATATTGGAAAATTAAACAAATTAATATTCTATTTTTTGTGTTTATTTGGAGTCAGGAATTATTGCTGTGTTTAAAAACACAATCTAAACGATCATCTTAACTACTTGTAATGCCCGAATCGAAAATGTAAAAAAAAATATTTTTCCATAAATAATTAAAAATGCATCGAACCTTAAAAATCGAAATATCTCTAAAACGGATAACTATAACGAAAACTCACAGGCGAGCTTTTTTATGTTGAAAAGTGAGAAGAATCAGTTTTTTTATTCAAAAAGCAAAAAATTGCACTAAGAAAGAATGTTCGGCCATTTTAATACACTACAGGTACAGTAGAGAGCGCCCTCTAGCGGCTACAGTAAAAGTATGCCCACGGTTCGTTTTGTCGTACCAAAAAAACCCTTGTATACCAATTTTCACTGTTATACATCAAATATTGTTCGAAATATTTAAAAAAACTATTTTAGAAAGTAAATTTAAACACCCTGTATTTCGGAAGCCACGCATTTTTCGACCCATGTTTATATAGACTTTAGGCATTAATTTTGATAGTTCTATCGAATCTTTAAGTTATGCAACAAAATACTTCAAATTAAGCAAAAGTATTGATAATTCGCGTGTCCAGTTTTTTGCAGGTAATACGCAGTAAATTCATTATTTCGGCCCAGATAGTGTCAACAATACTACCTAACTTATACAAAACAATGAGTAAACCTACTAAGTACTCCTCAGATCATAATCTACTTATTCATCCAGAAAAATTAGGATGTTATTATTCTGCGCCCAAAGGAAAAAGGACAAATATAGATAAATAAAACCTCATTTTTCTGTGACGGGAAAAAAGTTTGACATTTTGTCTCTGTTGACATTTAACAAAACGAAATTAATTTTTCCCCGGGAAAAAAATGATTACTTTTTTCCCAGATATAGTATAAACGTATAAGCAAAAGTGGATATTTAATTTTAGAATATTTTATTACACAATAAAGTTACATTTCCTTTATATCAAAGGTAGAATTATTAAAAATGCATCGCATGAATGACACGTTCCTTAGTGTCGGTACAGTCGAATTTTCTTGTGTTGAAATTTTATGTTTTTCTGCCGCCACAACTCCCGCTGATGTACTTGGTCGCAAATCCGGTGTTATTTCACCACTACCACACGTTCTAAACACTTTATTAGCTATTTCTGTCCTGTGTGCTACCGATTTATCAACATGCCCTTCAGCGACCGTTGATGACTTCCATCCACCATGTTTCTTTAGTGTCATTAAGTCTCCCCCAGTTTCAACTAAAAGTGTAGCAGACGATCTTCGAAATGAATGACCTATATATGAGTTAGCATTTTCAAGTTGAAGAAAATTAGCTAGCGATTCGGGAACCTTGTAAAACTGATTTTTACCCACAACCTGATTATTACATTTTGCTGCGCCTGCAGGTGCTGCTTGGCGAAGCGCTACGTAAATTCGGTAAAATTTAATTTTCTTTTCAGTAACTACGCATTTCCTTTTCACATAATTCTTTGTTTCTTCAAATTTCACAATTAATAACGTTCCCAAATCTTCAATATCATCTAATGTTACCTGGCTGATTTCACAAATTCGACAAGCTCTTGCAATGCCAAATACAACAACAACCTTGTCCATTAGATAAACTTCATCTGGAGCATTATTTAAAAAATCACTAATTTGTGTACTCGTAAAGATCGCAGATCGTAATTAGTTTGAAATATTTTGAAATGTCTACATTAATATTGGATCGTAACATACTATTAGAACTCAATAATTCGACCACACTGTTGACGGCTTTTGTTCTTCTTCCATTCCCAAAAATAAGACAGTAACACCGTCTCCCACAAAGAACTGTTTTTTTCATCTTCCATACAATAAATCTTGAATACGCGGTTTCGGAAATTTTCCGCGATTTATCTGGCAATGATTTTTTGACGCTACTTTGGCTACTAATTCCGGTGGAATCAAAGAAAACTCGGGATCAGACATTTTTTACTTTATAGTATTAAAAATAACATCTGAACAACCACTAAGTTCACAATTTTTAAATCAAATCACAAAATTAAATTGACAACTATGTGATTAAAAGTTTCCTGAGCAATGCAGGTCTAATTGTCGCTGTAAGCACAACACAGCCCACTAATTTCAAAATTCAAATTTTCTGACCTAAATAATGTAAAAATAAAATTGTGCAATATACACGGGAAAAATACTAGATTTTAGCTTTTTTGTCCTCCGGCGCGCAACCTCAAGCTAAAACCTTTTTCCCTTTTATGATAAATAGCTAGACTCTTCTACTTCTTCAAAAAATCTTGGTGTTGTTTTTGATACAAAATTAATCATTAATTAAGGAACTAAGTAATGTTCTAGCGATGTATGTATGGACATTCCCAAATCAAACCGTCGTGGCCCGACCTCTCCATAGGAAAAATAGTTCCTCAGACTCACAATTTGGAGCAGCAGGGAGCAAGACAATCAATCAAACAACCGTCAAGCTCATGCATTGCGGATCTCTGAGCATATACAGGGTGTCCGCAAAGTTGGGGTTTTCCTTTACATGACGCGTAGATCTTGAAAACATAAGCAATTTTTCTTAGTACCATATATACCAATGTCTTAAGGGAACCGAGATAAAGGGCTCTGCAACATCAAAAATATCTGAATACCGTCCTGTAGCCGCGACCCGCCGCGATATCTCAGACTGGTACCGGCTACTAGCTGAACCCGACGACAGAACTGGGTCGGGGGACGGGGTCAGTGTGTCAGGTCAGTATGCAACCTTCAACCGACGGTTACGGTCACGCGTGTAGAGGTAAACGAACCCGTATAATAGATTGATTTTCAAAAAACAACAAGCACCAGAGACGTGGCTAGAGAAGTGCAAGTATCAAAAACTAAAGTGTGGCAAACGCTGCGTGAAGAGGAGCTGTATCCGTTTCACGTCCAACGTGTACAAGCCCTTCAACCTGACGATTCTCCAGCAAGAGTGCGGTTTTGTGAGTGGTTGTTGCATCAACATGACAATAGTCCGGACTTTTTGAAGTGCATATTGGTGACAGACGAATCTAAGTTCACGCATAATGGGGTGAATAACTTTCGCATCACTCATGTTTGGTCAGTAGAAAATCCGCACGCTGTCCGTCGGGCACATTTTCAACAAACATTTTCGGTGAATGTTTGGGCTGGCATGGTGAATGGTATGCTCATTGGACCATTTATTCTCCCAAATCGATTGGACGGGATGCAATACCTAGACTTTTTACGCAACATTTTGCCTTCCTTGTTAGAAGATGTGCCATTACGTGTAAGACAATCAATGTGGTTTCTGCACGATGGTCATATTTGTTACCTCTGTTCGTGGTCTGCACCACCACCGGCGTCTGCTCGGTAGCGCATCAGCTGACTTCATTTTCTGTTGGAGCGGTATGATTTCGGGCAGAGACGTACTTAGCCCTTCTCGTCAACTGGAGAGTGAGTACTTTTTACTTTATTTTTTTTACTTGGTCGCCGTCGTCTCACTACACATTACCTTTGTTATTTCAAGGGTAGTTGTTTCTGAAAAGGAAAACCCCAACTTTGCGGACACCGTGTATAACTGAAATGTTGACAGAAAAAAAAGCAAATTTGATACAGAAACGTAAAACTGCAAGGTTTGGCTTTTTTAAGCGTCTGAGTGATACGTCTGGCTAATATGCCGCATTTCAGTAGTGTAAAGCACTTAACAAATCAATGTAAATAAGTGATCAACCATAAAATTTTGTGATCTTAATGTCGCGATTTTTGTAGGATTCAGTTTCTCGTGACTAGGCACCCAGAAATGCGAGAGAAGAACGGATGAATTCTGGCTAATCTGTTGAAAATCAATAAAGAATTTTCATAACCTTGATATATAATGCGACTATTTTGTTCACTTAGTGGAGGTAAATTGATGAACCCACGGAATGGAAAAATAATGAAACAATAAAAATCTGCGTACTTATTTCTAAACATTGTTCGCAACAGTTAATTACCGTGACTACATATTCAGAGAGCTTGTTTAGTGCCTGCTAATTAGATACATTATACTATTATATTACGGAACATGATATAAGTTTTAACTACACACAAGATAAAAACCTTGCTTCTTGACGTCCATTTTACTGTTAACGTAGTTTTCTCCTTTTGTTCGTCAAGTCCGAACATCGGAGCATATCAAGAAAGCGTTTCACCATGGAACATGCACATATTGCAAAAAACCTGCAACTTGGTGCTAGGTTAGTAAATCGAAACCTGAGTGGCATATGTCATAAAAATGTCGGTGCCAAAGAAATATTTTCCAGACGGAAATGTGTGTCATATGTCAGATTTAAGATATCAAATAAAGTATCTGCATATAGCACCTAGCTGACAATCCCGAAGTTGCAGATTTGCATAACTGAGGTTCAATAGCGATTTTGCTTGCCTTGTGGTTTCTAAATGTGTCCAAAACATTGTGCCAAACTTAGAAACTATAAACAAAAAATTACTGCCAGTTGATGTACCGGGTTTTAAGAATACTTCTTCACAATTAATGACGTTTTAAAGTAATGTTATTGTTATTTTTTTGCCAACCTATGAAAAGATCAGCTTGCTATCCAAAACAAGACGTGCTATGCATAAGCATACTTCTTCACAAGTAATGACGTTTGTTGCATTTTAAACTAATGTTATTGTTATTTTTTTTGCAAACTATGAAAGAACCTGGAGAAAAATACCAGCTTACTATCCAAAACAAGACGTGCTATTGCTAGCTCTTATCTATTTGTTTGTTTGTTGAAGACTCATTTAGCATAATTACTACTATGTCAATTTTTCACAATTATTCGTTTACACGTTTTTTTAAAGCCATTTTCCGTAATTTTACATTCTTGTCTATTAAAATTGCATGACCATTCATTCTGCGTATTCATAAAGTGGATTTATAGTTTCACCTTTAACACCGTTTAATGTCATTATTCAATTTATTAAATTGGAATACAGAATTGCTAGTTATGCTACTATTACAATTTTGCAGACGAAAATCTATACTGCCTCTAATTTCGTAGTTATGATAATGACTATTTGACTGTGTCAAGTTTTCTAAATGTGGTGGTAATGAACGATGTATTAATTTGGATACGAAAATAAGAAATAAATAACATATGAATTTTTTTACATTCAACCGCTGTAGTTCTTCTAACATAGACTTAATTCTAGCATATTTGTTTTTAGTTAAAATGATACTCATAGCTTTATTTTGTAGAAGAGGCAATTTTAAAAATATGTTTTTATTTGCTGTAAGTAAGAAATATATTTGAACAATACATAAAGAGGGCAAGAATTATAGTATTATACATAATTTTTTGGAATACATACTGAGATTATGTGAAACTCTATAAAAGTAATTTATCTTTTTTGACATTTTTGAAATAGTGTATTCATTAGGCTCGTGCAACAGTAGTTTACAATACACATATACATAATATACCCAGATATTTATATGAGTCCACTACTTCAATTTTTCATCATTAATCATGAGCCTAATTGTATTGTCACATAAACTCCTTCCTATTGACATACATGTTGTTTCATTTTAATTTAATTTTATCAACATTTAACCAATTTATATTTTTTTTAAAATCACCATACAACATTTCTAAAGAAGCGTCCAAAAGCTTATCTGCTATATATATCAATGTACCGTCCGCAAATATTTTGCAAATTTTGCAGTGTTCTAAAATGTATGAGATATTATTTATATAAATAGTAAATACAAACGGCCCTAATTTACTCCCCTGTCGCACCCCTACTGATATATATTGAACGCCTGACATAATACTACCAACTTTAGTTTGCCGACTTCTATTTAATAAATAATTTTGTAAAATTTTTAATCCTGATCCTTTAAAACCATAGTGAAGTAATTTCATTAACAATTTTGCCCTATCCATAGTCTCAAATGCTCTCTTAAAGTCTCAAGATACTGTTATAATATATTTTCTCTCATCTATACCTCTTCTCCAGTCTTCACCGCCATTCGGATTGGTATCTCTATCGAATATTTTTTTCTACTCCAACTTGATTTTTTTTACAAAACTTTGTTTTCTTGAATGACTCGTCCGTATATTGTGCCTTCAAACAGCTTCTTGACATGTGGCAAGACATCAACCGGCTGCATATTAGTATATAGCTCAGAATGTTAAACTTTTAGCACAGGAATAATGGTGGAACACTTTCATTTTGATGGTAATTCACCATAAATGATTCAACAATAATAAAAATTTCGCTTCAACTATATTGAAATATTTAGGGCCAATTTCACCAACAACAGTCCGTTATTCTCCACCTATAGGGTAGCAGACCGTCAAATACAACGAATGAGCTTCTAGTTTCAAGCTTCAAATTTTAGCAACCAATAGCTATGAAATATTGAAAACAAAATACTGTCAAAGTATGAGATGACAGCTTGTCATTGAAACATCACCAGCTTATTGAACATTAAGAAATTACATGTGATTTAGTCAAAATTTAAAGAAATGTTGGATTTTTGAATAAAATTCATGTTTTAATTACTATTGTTGATTTTTTATTCATGTTTATATTATTTTCTTCAATCGATATGCGATACTGGGTGTTTT